GACGATATAAGATGGTCTTTTTCGGAGAGAAATTGCAGCTAATGTTTGATTTCCCTTTCAAATGAGACTCGATTTGCTCCTCTGGAAGATGGGGTTATACAGCTCAGAGAGTTTGTGTCTGTCAGCCTTCCCTCTGGAAGATGGGGTTATACAGCTCAGAGAGTTTGTGTCTGTCAGCTTTCCAACACTGTAACAAATAACAAGAGATAAAACAAACTTAAGAAGAGGAAAGATTTGCTTTGGTTCACAGTTTCAGAAATTTCAGCTCCTGGTTACTTGGCCCTGTTGTGTTGGGCCTGTGGCAGCACAGCCCACAGTAGCAAGAGCCCAGGGTAGGAAAGGCCCACTCACCTCATAGCAGCTGGGAAGCCAGAGAGAGAGAAAGGGAGTCTTAGAGCCCAATATTCAACCACATGCTACCAATGACCTCAGTTCCTTTCACTGGGCTTCACCTCTCCAAGGTCCCACCACCTCCATGGGGACAGGACTTGAGCACACAGGGCTTTGTGGGACACTCAAGATCCAAATGATAGCCAGGCACGGTGGTGCATGCCAGGAATCTCAGGGACTCAGGAGGCTGAAGCAGGAGGATTGCAAGTTCAAGAGTATCCTGCAACTGCACTATCATTTGAAGATATGTTTTGTGGTCTCAAAGTAAAGAGTAAAAATGACTGGGGATCTAGCTCAGTGATAGAGTACCTCAGGGTTCAATCAGAAGAAAAAAGAGAGAGATTGAAACTCTAACAGGTTGTTGGAGGTGCCCTGCAGCACTGCATACAGAGGACTTGGCCCAGCACCCACACATGGGCCGAGCTAGATGTGGAGCAGATGCTCTGACACTGCCCAGCCCATGGCCCACATGGCAACCCTCAGGTCCTGAAGGATCAGAAGCATTTATGGCCCATTTGTCCCCCAGGGGAACCAGTTCCAGCCCGGATTCTTTAGTAAAGAGTCCCAACAGCCAGATTTGAAACTACATCCAGATGTGGAAATACCAAAAACCCAGAAAGAAGAGAAGGTACAGAAGAGAGTGCAAGATCCTCAAAGACGATGGGAAAGCCCGAGCAGATATCCACCCAGGGCTGGCTCCTGCCCTCCGCCCCAGCCTTCTGCCCACAGGGCTGACATTCCCGCCAAGGTCCCAACCCCACATCCTGGCACGGAAGGCCCCTGTTGCCACCACTGTTTTCCTGGTGCCTGATCCACCATCCGAAGCCCATTTCCTGAACCTCCACGACCATCCTGTGTCTCGTGTGCCTCTCCTGGGGCCATCTCTTTAAGCCGTGGGAACCCCAGGTTAAATGGAGAGCCCTTGGATGGATGTGCCTTTGAAACCGCTCACTTTCAGTGATGTGGCCGTGTTTGGGTTTGGATAGGGGGGTCCTCCAAAAGCAAGAGGTTTAGAGGTGACATATGGGGTGGTGAGAGCCTTACCCAATCGGGGAATTCATCCCCAGGTGGGGGTTAACTGGGTGGTGTCTGTAGGCAGGCGGGTGAGGCTGGAGGACGTGGCTCCCTGGGAGTGAGAGCTCTCTCTGGGCTTCCTGGTGGCCGCGTCCTGAGCAGCTTTCCTCCACCACGCCCTTCCGCCGTACTGTTCTGCCACACCTTGGGCCCAGAGCCAAGGAGCCGACCATCTATGGACTGAGACCTCTGAAACCCTGAGTAACAAATCACCTTTTCCTCCTCTAAGATTGTTCTTGTCAGGGACTGTGGTCCCAGCAGTGACAAAGCTGACTAAAACAGACAGGGAAAGCTGGCCTCCTTCAAGGCTGGGAACTGCAGAGACCCTGCGAAACAGAGCTGGCATCAGAGCTCCCTGCCCGCATCTCTAGCAGGGCGAACCAAACCAAGCCGCTCACGACAGGAGTGACCGCGGCTTTGGTACTGGGCAAGCAAGTGCAAGAGGAAGTGGGAAGACAACTGGGCACACTTTATCCAGCTCCTCGACGTAACCCCATCTCAGCCCTGGGACCAAAGGAGGAATCTTTGGCCCAGTAGTTTGCAGGAGCCTGGGTGGCTGATGCCAGCCCTTGGGCAGAGAGCAGTTGCTATGTTAGAAAGAAACTGGAGACGTCTTCAAAATACGGTTCTCATCACCGAGCTCTGCAGCCTGAGCATGTTGAGTTTCCTACTGAATACATCTTCATGTGGCTGTCGGGGCCCTCCCAGTCTAGTGATGTTTGGGGACCCATGAGACTCCCACGGTTCCCTCAGCACAACAAACCCCATGACGGTCAGGTCAGCCGGGAATGCTCCTTCCTTCTCCTCAATACCTGGTTCCAGGCTGGTCCCTGGACAAGTTGCAGGTAAATGCACTTCCTGGCTCCCGTCTGCCTGGCTCACGGGCTGACACACCTTCAGCATTTACAGATTCCTCCATGAGTTTCTGTTGGGTTCTGAAATTAGGGCAGAGAGAAAAAAAAAAAAAAAAGAGGTCCCTGATTTAATTGGCAGAACAGCACGTGGCTTTTGGGCACCAGGACACTGGATGGCCTCTACTTAGGCCACCCTTGAACGAAGGGTTAGTTTGGGAGAACGATGACCTCTCAGATGGCAGGGGGTGCGGAGGTGAGTCCTAAGTGCACACAGAGGCTTGTGATTGGATTGGGAAGGTTTCTGACTCCAAATCCTCCATCAGATATCAGCAGGAATTGTGTAAACCTCAGAATTCCTAGAAAATTGGACAGTGAAAAAGGAATGTGCCCAATTATAAGCCACAGGAATTCTTTTTCTTTGAAAAGGAAATAAAGAATTTTGAAGGAGAAAATAAGAAGTATTAATTAACAGGATGTCTGAGCAGGGGGCCTTGTTGAAGATGTCTAAGAGGGCCAGGGAAGATGGGGGGAAACAAGGAGAAAAATCAATCAAAACCAAGTGAGTGGGACTTAAAAAACAGCGTGCTACAGGGACGCAGCCACATCAGTGTTTATAGCAGCCCAATTCACAATAGCTAAACTGTGGAGCCAACCTAGATGCCCTTCAGTAGATGAATGGTTAAAGAAAATGTGGCTTATATACACAATGGAACATTATCAACCTTAAAAGAGAATAAAATTATGGCATTTGCAGGTAAAGGGATGGAGTTGGCTAAGTGAAGTAAGCCAATCCCAAGAAACAAAATGTTGAATGTTTTCTCTGATAAAAGGATGCTGATCCCTAATGGGGATGTGTGGTGGGGGTGCCGGGAGCGTGGGGGTAGGAAAGACGGCAGAATGAGAAGGACATCATTACCTAAGTACATGTATGAAGACCCGAATGGTGTGACTCTACTTTGTGTACAACCAGAGATATGAAAAACTGTACCCTATATGTGTACTATGAATTCTAATGCATTATGCTGTCATATATAACAAATTTGAATAAATTTTTAAAAAGGAGTCTGCTTCATATACCACAAAAGTGGGTACAGAGGTCTTTTCATGTATTTTAAATATATATTTTATTTATTTAACAAAATATAATTTGTTGTAGTGAAAAAAAAACCAGGTGAGTGCTGCTAGTGTCAGCAGTATCTCAAAACAGCTGAAAGGTCATAGGAAGGTATTTATTTGCTTTATCCAAATTTTATTATTATTCTCTCCCTCCCATGTTCTATAGTAATGCAAAATTCTGATCATTATCACTGAAGTCTTACTCCCCCCACCCCCACCTGCCCTTTGGAACCAAGGATTGAACCCAGGGGTGCTTAACCACTGAGCCACCTCTCCAGCCCATTTTTATTTATTTATTTATTTTTTTTTTGAGACACAGTCTTACTAAGTTGCTTAGGGCCTCGCTACGTTGCCAAGGCTGGCTTTGATCTTGCAATTCTCCTGCTTCAGCCTCCCAGAGAAGTCCCCATCCTTAAGGTTTAACTGGTCATTAACATTTTTTTTAACAAAATTCACATTTTATGTAGATTGAAATAAACTATACAAAATCGGTTTTCTTCACCAGAAATAACAGCAATATTTTCTGTATTATTTCCAGATAAACCGCAAAACATTTGTTTTGTAGGTTTGACGAGGCAGTAGATAGAGTCATGGAGAAAGAAAACAGACAAGTTGTCTTGACCATGAAGCAGAAGTGTTCAACATTAGCCTGCTAAAATGAAGGTGTGGGCTTGGGAAGGTGTAGGCTCAACAAAGGGGTGTAACAGCAACAACCAGACGTGGAACCACCGCGGCCGGCTCTTCCACTCAAACTGTAACTTGTTCTTTCAGTTCACTTGATAAAGACAAGATCTGTACTGAATTCTGTTTGGCGAGCTCACAACTCTAGTTAATTCCCTTAATTGTCCATCACAGATTTTAACACACTTAAAGCTCCTAGTAGTCAAAGGTCAACAGTAGGCTTCACGGTCACATTTCATAAGATGCATTCCTTTCTTACACCTCCTCAAAATGTATTTCTTCAAAATTGATAATAATACCTGACAGCTGGATCCATGGTAAGAATACGTTTTATGATCTAAAAGACTCAACTAAAACAATCCCAGAGTGCTAGTAGCAGAGGTCATGCAGAGGGGACATTGGTGCTTCCAATGGGGTCTTCTGAAGCACAGACACGTTTTCACAGCATGACAGCTCCAACAGGAGCCAGGTACACGGGCAGCTCCCCAGTGGCTCCTGTGTTCACGAGAGGCCCGTAGGCCACGATATTCAGTGATAAGTGACCTACAGGTATCTTATGGCTTTTCTCCCAAATATCAAATATAAGAGAAAGCCCATTTTGAAAGTCTTTCAGGTATTTTCAGCAGTTTCTGGATTGTCAGTTTGATATAGGTGGCTACCATTAAGTCCAGATCATGTTTTATATCAGAATTTACGTTAAGCAAAGCCACGTTACTTGCCCTCTGGGCTGTCAAAGTGTTCCTCGGGTATGCTTTAAGAGGCTTTTGCCCATTAACGTTTCATCTACAGCTGAAACCCCAAAGTCAGACTGGGCACGGCATCGTGGGACAAGTCTACTGTGCAGCTGGAATACAATGGAAACCCTCTCTCTCCTTTTTCTTCTAGAAACAGGGAAGATTGACCAGGAGATCCACAAATACAACACCCCGGGATTCACAGGCTGCCTCTCCAGGGTCCAGTTCAACCACATCGCCCCGCTCAAGGCCGCCCTGAGGCAGACCAACACCTCGGCCCAGGTGCACATCCAGGGCGAGCTGGTCGAGTCCAACTGCGGGGCCTCCCCGCTGACGCTGTCCCCCATGTCGTCCGCCACCGACCCCTGGCACCTCGACCACTTGGACTCAGGTAAAGCGCAGACAGAGCCTTCTCAGGCTGGTGGCTTTATTCCTTTAGAAACTTCCGTTCCTGGGGTGGGGGGTGGAAAGGGGGCGTGGAGGCAGGAGATGGTGGCACGGGACGGACCTCACTGCCCGAGGTACAGGTATGACTGCACTGTGCTGAGCTCTGCACCGTGTACAACCAGAGAAATGAAAAGTGGCGCTCCACGTGCGTCCGGGGAATTGAAATGCATCCTGCTGACCTGTCGAACTAACTAGAACCGATTTTAAAAGGGGGGAAAAACTTCTCTGTTTCTCTAACCATAACATGGCTCATAGCGAACCCGACTTGAAGATAAGGAAAAGCCAAAGAAGGTGTGCGCCAAGAGTTCTCTGGGCACGGGCAGGGTGCTCAGACCACAGGGGCCACTCCTGCTCTGCGCCAGAGTGAAGAAGGGAGGGGTGAAGACTGCAGGAATTCGGACCCTCTCTTAAATTATGGGCTGCCTCAACGGGTAGCCACGGCGCCACCGCAGGATGATCTGGTCACATCTTTTTCTCACTTTGGCCCCTTCTGAATCTGAATGAGTCCGTGTTCCAACGTCAGAAGAGATTTGCCCACAGAGATTCCTTTCCCCTTCTTTATTCAATTCATACCGCAGGCGTCCAGTTTAAGAGGTGTGTTTAGGCTAACAGAACTCAGTGGACGTGGCCCCACGTCTGCAGGTGACCAGGTCATCTGAAAGCACAGGCACTGAAGTGAAAGGGTGTAGCTGTTGGATGCAAAATTAACGGGAGGAAAATCCGACATCTACCTAACCCGGAGCGACGGAGAGACTGTTAGGTTGCATGTCCACTCCTGGTTCTTCCCGAGTCGAGCGTGGGCGGACCTGGGTAACCTTTCTAAGCCTCTGCATTTTCCCCCTATATTATATGGTAGTTTTATGTGTAAATTTTTGAGGAAAGTCCACGTAACTTTACATATGACTCCACTAAATTCCCCAACAGTGTATGAGGTCACCCTCTCTCCACATCCTATACAGCATGTGGTATCTTTCACCTTAGGGGTTTTTCATGATTATACGTAATAGTGGGGTTCACTGTGACATTAATGTATGCATAGAACATAACTTGCTTCGTCTCATCCCCTAGTGCTTCCCCTTTTCCCCTCCTCCCCCCCCCCAGTCCCCTTCCTCTATCCTACGGGTCTCCCTTCTATTTACTTAATCATTTTTAATCGGTGCATTAGAGTCAAACAGCAGTGACGTCACTGTGCCATCTTCGCCTGTGCACAGAGTAAGACGTGATGGATTTCACCCCCCAGTTCCTTCCCTCCCACCCCTTCATGTCCTACCTGTGAACTACTAACCTCCCTTCGACTTTCATGAGACCCCTTTTTTCTTTTATTTTTCTCTCTAACTTTTCACATGTGAAAGAAAACATTCAACATTTGACTTTCTGAGTCTGGCGTATGTCACTTAGAATGAGATTTGTTCTCCAGTTCCATCCACTTACCAGCAAATGACTCAATTTCATCCTTCTTTATGACCGTGTAGAACTCCACTGTGCATACAGACCACATTTTTGGTGTCCGTCCATCCATCCGCAGGCACCTAGCTGGTGCCCCAACTTAGCTGTTGTGAACTGTGCTGCCGTAAACACTGGTGTCCCTGGATCTCTATAGTGTGCAGAGGTCAGTTCTCTTGGATAAATCCCGAGACGCAGGAGGGTCGTGTGATGATTCTGTTCCTAGTCTTTCACGGAATCTCCACACTACTTTCCAGAGTGAAAGTTGTTCTAATTTGCAGTCCCACCACCAAAAATGTATAGGGGACATAAATCCCTAAGTGACCTCCAAGCCTAACATCCAGCGGGTCTCCAAGGGTGTGCCCTAAAGACAGGAAGAGAACTAGGGAGGAGGCCCAGCCCACCACTGCGGAGCACCCCCAGAGCAAACTTCCATACTAGTCTCCCCACCTCTAGAGTGGCAATTCGAAGACCTCACTTGCAGAATCCCAGTGAGGTGATGTGCTTAAAACACTTAGCACACTTAGCTGCAATCATGCCAACAATAATGGTGGTTATTATTCTATTAGACACAATTTACTCGAAAGCCTCAGGGTCCAGTGCAGCCTTTCTAACCCTCCCCTGACGCCGCAGACTTCCCGCTTGGGACAGTTGGTCCTATAAACAGTGTGCGTGGGGTAGCTTTGGTCCTGCTCCAGCCCTGGCTAGTTTCTATCAGCTCCAGCACGGTCAGCCCTCGCTGTGCCTGGAACCTTCCTGAAGCCAGACAAAAGCCAGATCCTGCCGTGGTCGGAATAGCCAATTTGCAGGCTCCACAGCCCTCTTTGTTCCCCGCACACGGATTCCTGTGACAGGAGGGGGGCACCACGGGCCAAGGGCACTGGAAGAATCCCCTTGTGTGGCTGCTGCGGGGCGTCCACACAGGCCGGCTTTCCTCGAGGGCCGGCTGGAACAAAGGAAAACACTCTCGCTGCAGAAGGAAGAGAGGAAAAGAGAAAAGACACAGAGGTTTCTCAGATAAATTCCTCCAAACCCAGGAGTGGACCAGCTGATGGAGGTTCTGGCTGCTGCAGGTAGATGCTGCCAAGAAACTGGATTCTGAAACATCTAAATAAATAATTTTTAAAAAAAAAAAGAAAGGAAAAAAAAAAGAAACATCTGGATGCTACCCCTGGCCAACACCAGCAGCTATCCTTTATGACTTGATTAGGCAATCACTGGCTCTTAGGTAGGTGAGACATACCTCCGGGCTGAACAATTTGATTTCATGTATTTTTTTTGAAAAGTCATGATTTATGCAAGACGACTTCCCTCTTTTGATCGAGTCATGAAAACGCATACGAAGTCAGGTCACATTTCATTTAGGATGCGATGATCAGATGAGGATTCTGTTGCCCACATGTAAAGGTTGGCCTCTGCTGTGTGATGTGAGTGATATTTGCAGGAAAACTGCCACTTGCTCTTGACAGAGGGTTCTTACAGCGGTCCATCAGTTTCAGTATTGATCCAGTCATTAACCACTTCAGTAATTGGGGAAATGGTCACACAAA